CCTTGCGTTCATTTTCGGAAACATTGACGAAGATAATCCTAATAATAAAAATGAGGTGCTCTTCGCTGTGTGCTCACTAATTCGAACATGACACGGCTTTCGTTTCGTGTTCGTTATGCATTGACGGAGATATCTGATCCATGTACATGAATTAACATTCCTACTTGTAATGGCATAGCTTTTGCAAGTTTACTTCCAGTTTTCAGCATTCTCTCAAATTTAACTCCTACTAAGCTAGCGGAAGTGAAAATCCTCCGATTAATCAATCTCACGGATATGATTTGTGAGGGTAAAGCTGCTAAGAACTACTAGAATAATATGCTACTTAATTCAGCTAAATGTTTTTTTTCTCTTGTAAGATAGCCTAGGTTACTACAAGCACTACTTTAAAGAGTTATTGCCCAGAGCCAGTTTTTTTTTGATATTGGTGTTACAATCAGAATACAGTTGTTGGCACGAAAATGTCTGAAGATTCCTTCATTATCTTAGATTAATCTTTGATAGCGCCTTAGTCATGAAAAAGGCTGATTCTTTCTTACAGAAGTGTTATGTAAAAAAATTCAGATTTTATATTCCATGATTAACCATCAGGAAAAATTACCAAAATTTGTTCTCTATTCAGACCAATTCCACACTTGTGTTCATCAACAAACATCTCAAGTTTTCTAAAATAACGTCAACATGTCATTATGGACCAGTCCAAAAGGCTAAGACCTCCCTCAGGCCTTTTCCTTCCTCATTTCCTTATTAAGATATGCGGCCTGGAATGCTTGGAAATCGAATTATGGCAACCAGACGACCAACGCAGATATAATTGCAAGACTAGGTGAAAGATTAGGCTTAGACCCTCAGATTATTCAGTCCAAAGCGCATTTCACAGCTTAAACAATGATCAGGGGTTTCATTGGGATGGGATGCAGAATTTCAAGCAGTTGCGTTTGAGACGTTTCATGAAAACGAATGGAGGCTCAGTTTCACCAGCAATTCGAAGAAATTCTATAACTGGAAGATGACTTTTTGCTTAATCTTCACTTTGAGTACTGGGGTTCTTATCATTTGCCCAATTTTTCATGGGCAATTTTCAGATTTCGCACCACTGGAATTATCCCTCGGACAAACAAATCAAACAGTCACTCCTATATCTAACGGCTCTATATGCTAGAAGATATTTGCTTCCGTTGTTTACTTTCATTCAAGATGAAAATCGATCTCGAAAATGCCCTAAGGCAGTTTGAATTTCAACACTGGACGAAAAATTACGCGCATCGCAGCTCATCTCACTGCCCTTGATTCTAATGGATGTGCTGGAATCCCCCCCGTGCGAAATATTACCACACAGCAATTCCGCTTTCAATGATGTCATAAAATTTGGAATTCTATAAATATTAACAGGAAATGTGTGTAGAATAGAAAGCGGAACATAAAATTGGCCGGTGAATTCGTTTGCTTTGTGATTCTATGCGAAAGCATGGTAACGGCAAAACAACAACAAAAAGCAATAAAAGCAAGTGTTATGACTAATTCTGAAGAGAATTTAAAATTGATAGAGGATACAGTGGCAAAAAGTCCGGCCATCCTTACATTTGCTAAATGACAAAAAAAAATTTGTTGGAAAAAATCTCTGTAAGCATGATATAAATCCATCAGGGTATGCACATAATCCAGTTGTTGGCGATTTCGCTAATGAAAATGAATGCGCGACAGCGGTTGCAGAATAACGAATTGAATTTATTAGCATTAATTCGATGAAGGCCGCTTGGAAGAAAAGATGCATCCCTCGTAAGCGTACTGCATGATGTCATAGTGCTTTGCTGTCTATATTGAAGTGAAATGGATGTGAAGTTGGGTAAAAACTTAATTCCCTTGTGAAAATATTCGGGAGTAGAAAAAGGCTGCTTTTTAGGTTGACTTGAATCTTTTTTTACTTAGGCGTTCTCTACCCTCCCCGAGGAATTCAATAAATAATGAGCACTGAAACTCCAAGGACTAAGGGGCTCCAAA